ACAGACTTATAAGACATTCCCGCAGCAAAAGACCAGACATCCATCTAGTCCATTTTCCCAGAATCCAGAGCAGCTAACCAGATGCCTGTGGAAAGCTCACAAGCAGGACACAAGGGCAATTTCTCTCATCCTTTCTTCCCAGATACTGGTCTTAAAGAACATATTGCCACTAAAACCAGGAGGTCTTGATAGCCATCATAACCAATATCCATTGGTAGATTCTTTCTCAGTGAATTTCTCTCCTGCCCTTGTAAAAGCCATCTAACCTACTGGGCATCACATGCCATCAACATCAATTTTTAAAGGGTTTAAAGTTTTTAAAACTCATACCAATTAGACCTCATTAGCAAAATAATATACAAAGATTTGTTTAATTTGGAGATAAGCTAACATAGAAGCATACCACCTAGAACCCTTAATGATTATGATGCAATTCTATACATATCCACTCAGAAACAAGTCAGTAATTGAAGGCAGCTATTGGAGAGAACCTGGTTTCATTCCTAATTTCAGTAAGTGGTTCATGTTTTCCCACTCCCCACATTTATGGGCAATCACAGTAATTGCACAATTCTATGCATGTCTCCTATGAGTGATATCTAATTGATTCAGTTGGACATCCTTCCACATAATATCCACAGGGTAAATATCCACAGATATCCAGGTGTAAGTTCCATTGGGAATTCACCCCTGAATAAGCTTGCACACAGATAACTGTCAGCGCAATGTGTATATTTATTTATTTATTTAAAACATTTTTATGCCGCCCCATCACAACGAAGCGTCAGGGCAGCTCACAACAAATACATAAATACATAAGTAATAACACTATAACAATTAAAAAAATATTTTAAAACCCCCAGTGCATCTCGGCTAAAACTTTAAAATCCTATAAATACAAATAATTTAACAATTAAAATAAGTTTTAAATAAAAAGGTCTTAGCCTGGTGCCAAAAAACAAATAATGATGGCGCCAGGCGGACCTCTCTGGGGAGCACATTCCATAGATGGGGCGCCACCGCAGAGAAAGCCCTACTCCGGGTACTCACCCTCCTAATATCATTCACAGAGGGTTCCCGGAGAAGGGCATCTGTTGCTGATCTCAAGGGGTGGCAGGGCATATATGGATGCAAGCGTTCCTTTAGATATCCAGGTCCCATGCCGTTTAGGGCTTTATAGGTCATAAACAACACCTTGAATTGGGCCCGGACTTCATTCGGGAGCCAGTGGAGCTGACGGAGAACTGGGGTTATATGAGAACAACGCCCAGTCCCCGTCAGCAACTTGGCAGCTCTATTCTGTACCAACTGAAGTATCCGGACCATCTTCAAGGGTAGCCCCACGTAGAGCGTGTTACAGAAATCTAATTGGGAAGCCACCAACGCGTGTGTCACTGTCGCCAGGCAGTAATATCTGAACATTAACCACATAACACACTAACTAACCAACACATCCTTGCTTCCTTTGCTTTTATACTATCTCATTTCAATTTCACTGTCCATTCATAAATTCATGTTTTGATTAATGTACTTCTTCATGCAGCACAACAGTGCTCCATCTCTCTCAGAGCCATTTTTAGGATTTTGCACATTTGGGAGCTGTTTTTCAGTTCAGAGCTGGTAACAATTAAACTTGGGAGCACAGAAAGCTGCCTTAAGAGTTCAGACTCTAGCGCAACATCATTTCCACTGATCGGCAAAAGCACTCCAGCGTCAGGTCGAATTCCTTCCCAGCCCTACCAGGAGATGCTAGAGACTGAAAAGAGAAAGCATGTGCTCCATCACTCAGCAACAGCCCTTTCTCTTAAGAAAGACTCGAGAAGTCCCTATGAAAGACTCCAAAAATTCACAGATAAATAAATATTAATATATCGAAATCACCAGTGTTAAGACCTTCCTTACAATGTATATTGATCTCCTTAAATAGAAGCACTGGCCTGGCTTACACTGTCATATTTAATGTTTGATAACTGCAGCAACCAGTGGTGACCTGGAGGTGCAAATGAGTCATTACAGATCAACACAACACAGGTAGCACTTGCATGTTGCCTCAAAGCGCTTCGAAGGCCAAGCTTTTTGATGGAATCAGTTCACACATATGACCAAAGCATCAAGTGTTAAGTCCAGGTTGTGCATGGATGTTGAAATTGGTCTAATGTCCACAATCCTTTTTTTTCTCAAGCAGAAAAGAGGGTTTCATGCTATCTGTATATATTTAGTCAAGCAATACAGATTGAAGTATGCTACATGAATTCTTAATTTTCCTTTAATGAATGAACGAATGAAAACATGTATTCTTAAGATGTCTTCTGCAAAAACTTAAGACTTGATTACGTATCTGCCTCTCTTTCAAAGAGGTCTGTTTTAAAAGCTGATGTGAGCTGATAGCATAGTGTTTATAATTATAGGTTGGATGTCCCTAATGCAAATTTCAGGTGAACCGTGAATGCACTGGGTCACCCTAGCCAAACCTTTTTGAGGTCCTCCTTCTGTCATATGTGGATAATATTATCACTGCTTCTCACGCATTTGTTTTAAGAATTACTGGAATGCACACAGAAAGACCTTTCTAAATTTGGTTGGGGTTTCTTTTAAACCTATATTGCTACAAAATATGATTATGCATCACTAGCCTTTGGAGAGGGGCCATGGCTGACTGGCAGAGCAACTGTTTTGTAGAAGGTCCCAGGATCTATCCCAGGCAGGGCTGGGAAAGAACCCTGAAGAACCTCTTCCAGTCGGTACTGGCAGTCTTGGGCTAGATGGCCCAAGGGACTGGCTCAGTACCATGCAGCTTCCTGTGCTCCTAGAAGCACAGTGGGTGCAAACTACCTCTCGTTATGCACACTGAAGCAGGATGTGGGGTATATGCTGGACCCCACATAAATAGTAGCAAATGAACTTATTTGGTATACTAGTTGCTTGTGTAATTGATTAACTCTGCATAAACATGCATATAAAACAACAGTTACAACAAGCATGATCTTACGAGTTGCGCATTTACCCCTTCTCTTTTGCAGAGGGGGAATACCTGTTATAGGTGGTAATTGCTTTATAGCAATCTAGGGGTTACTTTCAAAGTAGGAAGAGTAAAGATAATACTTCCGCATCTAACTGAAACCAATGGGACATCTCGGTGGCTAACTCAAATAAGTATCTAGCCTGCAGAATAGAGCAAACGCCAGTACAATCTCCCTAGGGTGCTGAAGGTGCCTACTTCGAGTCTTTCTTTCCCTGGTGCTCTCCAGATGCTGCGAACTTCAGCTTCCATGAGTTCCACTCAGCATGGCCAAGGGTCAGGAATTCTGGGAGCTGTAGTCCAAAACGTCCAGCGGGCACCAGATTGGAGAAGTGTACCAGCTTCAACCACCGTTCTCTTTCTTCTTTTACTTTTGCAAACTGTTGCGAAGGCACGGCGGTAAAATGTTTGCGGTTCCTAAAACGGGCTGGGCAAACGCGAGCTTCACATGCCTGGGAGTGACGACACGCCAAGAGAAAGGGCCGGAAGCGCTGGGGGACCGTTGCAGAGGCCGTTGTTCGCCCCAAGCATCGAGTCTGCAGCTTCGAGCACTATTCTGCCGGGTCCCCCCTCTGATGCTGTTGCTACCCTTCCAGCAATGCCCCCTGAAGATGCAGGCTGCTTTAAGTTGCCTTGGAAGCGCGCGCGCGCACGCGCGCGCACCCACACCTTCAACAGATATAAACCGAGCCTCTTTTTTTATATACACGCTGTCCTCACAAAGTCCTGTCCAGAGCAGATCACGCTGATGCAACCTGACAGCAAACTCGGCGGATCAAGAGGCCATCGGCCAGCCCAGACACCTGATCACACGGGACAAAACGCGCAGGAGCCCAGGCACAACTTTCCAGCATGAGGCAACTGAGCCCCAAAGCCCGAGCGCCACGCGCTGGCTTGGGCCTGTGAGAAACATTTCGCAACAGGCGAGGAACTTCTCAGCCGCGGCGCTGCAGAGAGGACCGCCAAAAGAGAAAAGAGAAACGTGTGTTGGCTTGTTCCCCGTGCAGTAACTCTTGTGCAACCCACCCGACTCCTCTCCAGCGTGACTTCCCTTGCGGGCATTTTAAAGTGTATCTGGCAGGAGTCGAATTTGTTGCAAAATCACGTCAGACCAATAGCCGCTTCTCTTTTCGGTTTACCCCCTAGGAAGAAAATTAGGGAGCGCGATCTTCCTGCCGGTCTTTCAGGGAGCAAATTCTGGCCCTGTTAGTTCCGTGCGACTTGCTTTTTTAAGTCCGTGTATTTAGGATTGCAGTTTGACAGCGCTATCTTAGACAGGACAGCGCTATCCTATCCTTCGGCTCATCGAGTCCCTAGAGGCATATTCCCACCCAGGAAAGTGGGTAAAAGATTGCAGCCTGTATTAGGGAATGGGTTGTTTTGAGCCTCCGATGGAACCACAGTGGCCAAGGATGATGGGAACTGTAGTTCAACGGCATCTGGATAGCCATGCATTCCTTACCCTTGCTAAATAGATATGAGCCCCATTGAGTTAAAGTCCCATTGAGCTTATTACCAGGCAAGTAGATACAACATTTCAGCCAAAGGTTCATTTTGCATCGCGCTGCTATGCATGCTTACTCGGAAGTAAGTCCCACTAATTTTTCAATGGGGCTTACTTCTAAGAGTGCAAAGAGCTGCATCATTGATAGAAACCTTTATGCTCTTTATTATTATTACAGTCCCTCGATCGCCTTTGGTCTCGCAAGGGTTAAAGAAGTGAAGGCTGGTATGAAAGAGGAAGCTTTCCTTCCCCAGAGGGACTCATATTTGAAATGCCACTGAAATTCTGCTGTTGGATTCCTCTTTCATGCCGGGCTCGGAGCGGGCCGATAAGAGGCCACGAAGGAGATCTCTGTCGGATAAGCACAAATGACACGAAACCGTCCAGACACACCACTCGCTAGCCGCACAAGCCATCCGCACCCAAGCCGGGCTTCCCACCCCTCCCTCCCCGCAGAGACCCCCAGTCCCCCCTCACCCTTCTGTCGATGCCATGTTGGTCCAGCGCAAGCCCCCCTCTCTGTCTTCTCACGAGAAATCCAAGGGCTTAGCGAGGAGCGGTCGCTTTCGGGCGGGGGGGGAGGCGGGGGACGGAAGCCCCTTCTCTTATCTTTGGGTGTCGGAGATCCTCTTTAATTCCTGCCCGGTATAATCCTCCGGGCTGCGAAAGGCGAGCATCCAAGAAGCGCGGGGCTTGAAATCTAACCCGCGCCGCCGCCGCCACACCACCACCTCCTCCTCTTCTCCTCCTCCTCCTCCTCTGGCTGCTTGGAGTGCGATTTCTCAACGCCTTCTGCAAGCGTGAATGTCTTGAGGAGCGAAGGGTAGTCGAGAAGGGGGGAAAGGAGCTGTGGGGGGAGTGGAAGAAAAGAAGATGGGTCGCGCGGGGGAGGGGGCAAAGACGAGCGGGGGGCTGGCAGGGGTCGGGCAGCGCGAGCACCTGCGCTGTGATCCTGCGCTTCCAGCGCTCGCTGGGAGAGCCGGCTGCCGATTGCGAGGTGTGTGTGTGTGAGAGAGAGAGAGGGCGAGGAAGCCGGGGAGGGGGGTGTCTGTGTATATGTGTAAAGGGTGGTGGGTGACTTCACATTGCCATGGTGGTGTTGGCTGAAGCTGGATTGGAAGGTTTAACTGTGGATTTGCAGTCTATCCCTCTCTATTTTCGGCATAGAGCTGACATCACTCGCCGTTGCTCCTCTCCCACAAATCCCCCAGCCTCTTTATTTATAGTGGGGGGGGCGGGGGGGCGGGGGAGAAAAGCCCTCCCAGGAGAGCGCGTGGATCCGCAGGAATGAAGGAGGGCGATCCCGGGCGGAGAGGGAGCGGCGCCTGGCGCGGCGCAGCGCCCCGGAGCTGCCAGGCCAGCAGCGCCGCTGTGTCGCTCGCGGGCTCGCTTGCCTTCCCGCTTCGCTGTTCCTCGAGTGCATGCTCGGAAGCTGGCGCGGCGGCCGAAAGGTGGCAGGAGAGGAAGCGCCTCAAACCGTCTCACCGGCGCAGACGATCGATTTCCTTTGTGCTCGTGCCGTTCTCGGCAGCCACGTCCCTTGGCTGGCGGGGGAATATTTTGCATTTCCCCCCGCCATCCTCTTTGCACGTGTGTGTGTGTGTGTGTGTGTGTGTGTGTGTCCATGCATGCACCGCATCTTTTCCTCACACCCTCAACTCCCTTTGCATCGTGTCTCGTTAGGGTGCCATCCGCCTCCCAACCCTTCAAACCCTCTGGCGCTCTCCGTTCAACCCCCAGAAGCCTGACTAGGGAGCGCAAACGATCGCCCTTTTTGCATTGTCGCTGCCGTAGCTTTACAATCACGACGGTAGATATTACTTGTGTGATCCTACGGGGGGAAAAGAGCGGGAAGAAAGCGGGCCTCCTTTCGGCCAACAGGGAAAGCGTTAATCTCCCGACGCCCCCTCCCCCAGCGCTGTCACATTTCTTGCCCTTTAAAACCTGCCTGGATATCCGATTGGGACGCGCGACGGAGGGGCGGAGCTACTTTAATGAATTAAGACTCACGAGACAAAGGGCGATTTTGCAGGATACAAACTGCACGCGAGGGGACGGGACGGAAATAAGCTTGTTAACTGTTCCGAGCGCTCTGTTGGGCTCATGCGGAACTAAGGCTGAAATCCTAGGCACGCTCACCTGAACTCAGAGAGGCTCCCATCCAGGGAGATGCATATAGGGGTCCTATAGATTGATACCATACAGCATCGTTGGAGGAACTGCTAAAGGACGAGGGAAATTTCTGGAAAAGCCAACCTAGGCTCCCCCCAGCCTGGTGCCTTCCGAATGTGTTTGGGCTATAACTTCCTTCGTTCACAGCCATGTTATGTAGGTTGGCAAGAGGACACTGGATTGGTGAAAGCTCTAAAATGAAGAATGATTATTGGATTCTTGAAGCAACCCTCCCCACTTTCCAATATCTCTTCCTTTTTAAACAAATCCAGAGAGGTGGGGAGAAAATATGTTTCCCTATTTATATATGGAATTGATGGAAGGCCATATAAAAACTCATTTTCTTCTTGCCTTCAGCTCTTCCTCCTGAACTTGCACATACAGTGCCCTGCAGAGTTTGTGGGAACTACTTATAAGAAACATCTTTGGGCTGGAATTCTATCCTTGCTTACCTTGCTGTAAACCTGATTGCACTCAATGGGAGTTAATTCTGAGTAAACGTGCATAGGTTTGCGCTGTTGATTCTTTGCTTGTGCAGGTAGATCCATGAAAGTAATTAATGAAAGCAATCCAAATCTATTTTTTCCCCTATGGCCGTTTCTCTAGTAAACAGAAACTTGAAACCTTTTATTGGATTGGTCTCTGACAAAAGTATAGGCATCCTTTGACAAATCAGTCCCAATTAAAAAAGAAGGCATCCCAGTAGATAGGATGAGATACATATCCTGTTGCATCCTCTAAACTTCCATGAGCCTGGTTAGTTACTAAAAGACATAATGGGGATATACCCTGTGTGCTTGGGGATGGTTAGTTTAATTTGCTTGCAGCTATAAGTTCTCATGGCTATAAAAAGTCACTCCTCTAAGGCTCTGCTGACCTCTGTTGGAGATGTAGTAAATCAATGGTTATCAAAGTAGCTCAAGAAATAGCCTGGAGAAGACTTCCTCTGGAAATTAGAAGCATTTTCTTACTAGTAACATTTTCTTACTAATTGGCATTCTGGGAAGTAATCAGCAGAAGAACAAGCTAGAAGAGACAATAATAGGTATTCTTCAAAGTGGAGCAGAGGCTGCTAAAGTCCTATGAGATTCATTCTCCTGGTGAATTAAAATAGTTGGAATAGCTTTAGGTGCAGAAGGAAAACACACACATGCCCAGCCCAGTACACAGTCATACTTCAATATTTGTCCCCACGGATAGAACAAGTGGGTTAATACCCACCTCCAAGTGCCTGCTTCAAGGAAAGGCAAAGGCATGGAAGCATTTTTACAGCATAGGTCCTGTGAGTTGCTTGCCAGTGAAATACCTCTTTATCTCTGAGTTTGGCTTTGTAAACTGTGTTGTCTTGTTTAACCAATATTACATAGCCCCAGGAGATGTAATGGTATGTGTTGCGTGGTTCCTTAGCTATGTTACTCAAACCACTTCCTTCTTGCTCCTGCTTTTTTGTTGTCTTTGGAAAATGTAGTCTACTAACCTGCCTACTTCCCATAATTCATATTTCACTCTAGATTATATTGAGGGCTAGAATATTGTTTTCCCACAGCTGGTTTCACATACCTCTTTTTCTGTACTGGGATGAATTAATCTCTTGTCTTTATCTGCAGCCCGAATGTCCTGAAGCAGAACACCTGGAAGTCAGTTTCCCCTTGCATCCTTGCTTCTCAGTGCTGTGGGAAAGGTGAGGATGAGGCATGGCCCAGGAATTGCAACCTTAAGGAGTTCTGAGAATCTTGAGACAACAGCTCCAGACAAAGCAGCTGCCGTCTTGCCCTCTCCTTCTCTGCACAGTGGGGAAGGCAGGGCCAAGAGAGAGAAATGGGAGCTCATCATGACCCTGATAGGACATCAGACTACCTTGCTTCCTGCTCCAGCCACCAAGGAAACCATGTCGGGGAGCTCAGACAGGGAACTGTATGAGGCACAGCCTGCTACCCTCACCATTTCTGTAGGCCCATGTGGCCTTGCTGCTCCATTCTTTCCCACCCTTCTAAGTTGCTTTGATTAGCTGTTGCTACTTAGAAATGGGGTTTCTTTCTCTTTCAGTGGGGGAAACTCAGTCCAGTTCAGAGGAGCATCTGCTCTGGTTGCCCTCCACAACATCTTCTCCATGTCTTAGCATGGGCAAATTTTTCCTTTTTTACTTTCTGAAAGATAATACCCACTCCCCAAAGAGTGCGTATTACGTCCCTAAGGCACTGCCTTTGAGACGCTGCCTTATTTTAGAGGGCTGTATATTCAGTTTCCATACGCCATCCCTAAAAAGCCAAAGCATTTAGTTTGTTACATGCTATGATGACAGGTGAATCTATTTAAAGGACAACTGCCATGTGAATGCTTCTCAGTTTCATTTGAGCTCTTTCCCTTTACTTTGTATCACTTGTCATCTCAGTTACTATCTTTGTCCCATCTGTCCTATGGCTGGGTGACTGAAGGACAAGGTGGAGCCTATGTAGGATTGTGCTGTTCAGGACACAATCCCCAATACAGTGACTTAGAGAATGAATAAGTCCCACTGATCACAGCAGGATTTCTTTGGATCCAGCATGCTCAAGATTTGAGCTTTAAATCAGCAACAAGATCAATCTCTTCATTTTTGGATAGGAGAGAAACCCAAAGAAGGAGGTGAGAGCCATATGGCATCTTTTCATCCCACATACAGAGCAAACTGGCACTGGAATCTTATTTTAACACCGACAACTGAATAGTATTCTTCAGTGGGCATTACACTAGCATAGCTGGATAAGCCATACAAATGGCATATAGAGCTCGGTATTCCAGATACTTTCCATTGCTCCACACTTTCCCACTGTCTGACTTAGCTGCCTCTCTCTGCCTAATAACAGGCCTGACTTGTATATGCCCCAAACAAGCTTACAAGCCTTTGGCAATTCCTGTAATCTTACCGACTCACCATATTTCTGTAGCCATCAGCTCTGTTTCCTTGTCAAATCATCTCCTTCTCCTTTAATTGTCTTTTTGTCTGTGACTTGCAAGGTTCTAATTTTTACAGGGCTTCTGCACCTCTGAATACTGATGGGAAAGTTCTGCCAAGTTTGGTTTGTCAGATTTTTGTACTGAAGTTTTAATCCTTTTATGCAACTCTTCAAGGTAGATAATGCTTGGCAATTTTATTTCTGTCCAGCTTCTTACAAAATCATATCTGTGTTTATGCTCCATGTTTAAAGACTACCGCATTGAATAATGACCAGCTGCACAAGTCAAATCTACAGAAGAGATTCCATATTTGATGAGATTACTTCATTCAGCAAGATAGTTTAGCACATATCCTGTCAAGGAAGACTGGTAGTCCTAATGCCAGTGATGTGGTGCGAAGTTTTAGCCTGAACTTTTCAGGAGCTATCCATGGTGCTGAAACCCAACTCCTAAAGCAGTTCAGTGTCCTGGATAGCACCTATGAAGTTCAAACCCAAAATAGATATGCCATCAAACTGACATTGAAGCCACTGGCCGTGGCTGTATTCTGTTTCCATTATTCAAATGGTTATTGAGTAATCAAGTGATGAGATACTGGTTCAGTCATTCAATTTGTGCTCCAGAAGGATGCCTTCACATAAAGCATGTCTTGTCCTTTCTTTGAGTCTAATAGATTTCCAGCAGGCATGCCATTTAGGTTTCAATCTTATACCGTCTGGGAATAAGTGCTGTTATAACCTCAGTGGGACTTCTCAGCAAGTAAACATACATAAGATTGTGCTGTTGGATACTTTTAAAATACCCTCTGTGAAACACTAGTTTCTACATCAGAAACCTGCTTTTACAGGACTAGTCTGACATAAGAAGGCTTCTCAAAGATCTAATTCTATGCCTAGAATAGACTCCCACAAACCAAATGGAATTGTTTAGATTGGTAAGGGGTGAGAAGCAGTTCCCTTTACACCTTGTACAAATGACAGTTTTATTGTTCCATTGTTAAATTGCATCACTTGCCTAAAGAGGATCCATGTATCTGTTGCAGTCTTTGGAGTATAAGCTGTCTTTTTTCTTGATGTGGATTGATCCTGCAATTTTATCCAGCACTAGGTTAAGCGAGTACGTTTGACAGAAGTCCTGTGTTTTTTGTAATAGCTGCATGGTGGAGGAAGGTGAGTTTTCAATGTGATTATTTAACAAACTGTAGTTCTCTTTTTTTCCTTGTATTTGCCAGGATTGGCCAAAGACATTTTGCTCCTCAGAAAGAGCAGCAAAAGTCTACTCCTCACCCCTGGCTAAAAGCTGGTCAAATAATTTGGTGTTCAGAAGCAGAACATCTCTGTCCCTTTCCCTGCCAATAAAAATATAACAATAATAAATGAAATACCCAACAATTTGCTTTCCTTTCATGATGTCAAAAATTGATTGAGATGGTCTGCTCACTCTGTCTAAGGGTAGGACTTTTTCCTAATCATAAACACATTGCAAACATATGCAAGGCACTTCTTACCTATTCAGAGCTCCCCTAAACAGAATTTCAAGCCAGGCTTCACATGACACTGTGGGAGACGCTATTGTAAGTAATTATGGCTGTGGTTTGTTCTGTTGCCCAAACCCAAGTTTTACAAAGGTAAAACACCCCTCAGAGAATCCATAATGCTTAACCTTTGGGAAACCCACAATCCCTGGGTTCAGGCAACATGACAAACTGCATTCCCATCCTGAATATTAAAAATGGCTTCTGACATGTGCCACAACCTACTGTAACTTAAATAAGCCACAATGGGCTATCTGATCATGTGAACTGCTCCTTTTTTGTTAAGCAGGACAGATCGTTTCCTCAGCTTCTTTTAAAAGGATGCATAACTGCCACAATCTCTTTCTGCAGTTTATCTACATATTTTGACATATTCTGGTTTTCATCTCCCTTTTGTGGATATTATCAGCTTACTATACTGAAATGATTTAAAAGGAAAAAAGAGTCCCGTAGGGGGAGGGAAGGATAGCAGATGGTCTATTTTTAATCACTTGATAATTAACGCTTCCAACAATGTTGGCAGAAGACTTCACTAGTACAGTAAAATGTAGCAGCAGTGCATTAACATATTATGAAGAACAAAAAACAAGCAGTAATGGAAAGATATGACTATAGATTGATTCCGTACAGTTTCATTCAGGAGCCCCATTGGCTCCACAAGACTGTCTCCCAAGGAAGTATGCTTAGGATTGCAACCCAAAGCTGCCATGCTGAACGTGCTTACTTGGTAGCCAGTCCCATTAGTGTGGGACCTATCCGGGAGTAACCACAGATAGACTCAGGCTGTCAACCAATTGTGAATCAGCTAAAAATCAGAAGTGTTTCTATGTATGTTAAAAACAAAAAGAACCAGATTGTGGGTTGAGGAACTGCCATGGAAAAAGCTCAGGTGATCACTTGGTTGGAGGCGATGCAATCACTATGGTGGAAAGAGAGCAAGAGACTTTTTATTTATGGATGCATTAATGCAGAAGCACTCCCAGGTATGTAGAGGCCTGTTGTAGCAAACAATTAGCTTCCTTCCTCAAACTTCTTTTTCCCTCCTCTGCCAATTGCCTGGAAAGGGAAGGGACCCACAAATTCATCACATCATCATGTCTTGATGCATTTCAAAAAAGTCTAAAAACTTTTTAAGTACAATAATTCATCTAAGCAGAAAAGAGAGCCACCAAAGTAGAAAAGTAGAAGCAATTGTTAAAAGTAGGTTTTGCTCAGCTAAGTTCTGACAATTGATTTACAGTCTAAGAAATTAAAATAAGGATTATAGAGTTACTGGTAAGAGGAAGAGCAGAAGTCAGGCAAAATTGATGGAAACATATGACAAGGCCCTATTTAATTTTTTTTTTTTTATCATGTTCAGGAATCAGACTTAATGAGTATGGCTATGTTTATTCTGTTAGGTTATTCGGTTGCAGAAAAAGCTACAAAATTTATGGTGACATAAAGCCATATCCTGAGAACATCTCTTTGGCTGTGTGTGAGTGTGTTTAAAGTAAGTGTTCTAGCCTGAATGGCTTAAATTCTAGATCATATAATGACAATCAGCATGTTTATTAGGATTTGTGGAGTCAGGTTTCAGTGCCCTGCATAGTTTGTCGCCATTACTCATTAAGTGGAAAAATCAGAATATATTAATATTATACAACCTAAGGAAATCTGTGCACATTAGCTTGATTTTCAGAATGTATGCGGAATTCTACCCATATTTCTTTTGCCGCAGATACTGCTTGACCAGTGCATCTTAGTTCCCTTTCTTCACCTTTTGGAGCACATTATTATTTAGATATTGGTATTAGGAGAGCTTAATCCAGTGTAAGTTGTTAGATCAATGGTAGTCAAAGTGTATTCTAGGAAACACTGGAGTTTCTTGGTAGGTTCTTGGCTTTTCATTTCTGGGACCATCATCAGTGGCATGAAAACTTTCCAGCAAGATAGCTTGCCTACCACCAGTGATCTAACCTTGCAGTGTTGTAGCAGAAAAGGCTAGAAGGCCGTTGTGATTACAAGGTGGTATCTGGACACTCTGTCCTTGTGTCTGTTACTTTTCTGTATAGCCATTCCAGTAGGATGAGGGTTTGCATTCTTTCACTCTCTGTGTCCAGTACCAAAGAGCTCATAACATTTAGAGTTTCACATAAGAACCATATGAATTGATTTTATTTTTGGAGCATCTGAGCTTTAACCTAAATGGCAGATGCGACATAGGAAGATCACTCCGGTACCTGTAGGCCATGCTTCGGTTACTTAGAAAGCTGTTACTAAATGTGTAGATGAATTTGAACTAGATATGGCCTGGAGAACAGGTTGTTGTGGACAGTACTTTGGTTGACTTGAGGTTGCAGTTCCCTACCAGTTTGTTTTTGATTGCTTAACTACTGTGCCACAATAAAAGCATTTTGCAACTTCAGCGTGTTGAATATCATGTGTACATCAAATGGTAGCAATGCCAATTAAATCCATTTCAGTTCCAGGGTGTAACAGAACAAAATGTGGAAAAGTAAAGGGATGGAGGGGATGCTGATTACTTCTGCAAGACACTGTATACAGTTGGGGAATCTTCCTAACAGCAGAACCTAGCTGCAGAATGTTCTGTCTATCCACTTCTGTTTCTTTGAATGGTTCCTGTCAGCAGTAGAACATAAGCATTTTATTCTATACCCACTTGCCTTTATAATCTTTTTGCTGTATTCTGCTAAGAATGCTCTTTAACCTTTACCCACAAGTGTGCTTATTATCTCTAGATCTCAAAAATGAAGCACTAGCAAACAAATGGATAGCTTCGAAGTGTGCTTTCTAGTTCAGCACTGTTTCTGGATGATGGTGACATGGCTAACAGTCCTCATGACCTGACTAGGTGCCCTGAAAGTGCCCCAGAATTTTTTCCCAGCTGCAGAGAGACTCATATTCCTTGGTAGGTATATTAGAGGTAAAAGGGATCTCTGAAGGTAGAACGTGACTGGATTAGATTATGCCTTGATGCATCACCATTCCAAAGTTTTCTAGTTCTAGCTATCCAAGGAAGAGAAAGACATTTGTGTTAGCTTCTCTCAATAGATGAGAAACGACTTGAGAGAAATCAGCTATCAAAAAGTTGGTTTTCAGGTTAAACACAAACCTTTGTTTATTTCAATGTGTAAGGTACTTAGGAGGGAAAAGAATATAACATAAAATATGGCAGTACAGACAGCTTAACAAACTCATCCAGCCTCCTAACGATCTCTTCCCAGCCTCCTAACTCTCTTCAAAATCAACAGACATACATTCTGATTGTCTTACCCAGGTGATTGTTACACAGAGATTGAATACAATTACTTCTGGCCGTCATGTTTTTGTAACTACAACCCATGACTCAAGCACCCTCTTCCCACCAGGAGCAAGGGGACAGCTCAGGCATATCAAATCATGTGCCACACAGATGAACTCAACTCACTGAATTGCTAGACCTCATGGCACCTCATTGAGGCTCCTGCATTAGCTTTATCCCAGACACCTTCCATCAGTGGGATGAGAAAACTAAAGCATTAGAGACTCTGGGAGAAATGTATATATTTACTGCAAAAGGAAAAGTTTTGGACCAAGTGTTTCATTTCATGTTTTTCTCAATCCAGTCTTTGAAAGGAGTTGCACGGGTGTAGCCAGTGTAGAGTTCGAGGCTGCATGTTTTATCGTATCCCCAGCTCACTAACCCCACCAGATGCCAAGTTAACTCAGGAGATGTTTTTCCTGGCAAAGGTATTGCTGCGATCCCTCCAGTTTCAGCAGGACAAATATTGGAAAAAGCGGCAGGGTGCTTCTTGGCACAAAACATACTGTCAGTGATGCTGACCTGGATTCCACTTTCTTCATATTGCTGTTCACACAGCAGGGAGTCCACTATCTGAATGGATCCTGTACGGATAGTGTCATTCTTGTAGCTTGGATCGGCAACATCAGTCAGGATCTTCCAACCAGTGATCACTATTTGCAAGTCATCTGGAAGTGGATCAATATCACGTGTTGATGCCAGGCATATGGGCTGGACACGGCTGCTTATTTTGGCTTTGTCCAAAAGTTTCATGACAGCGATGTCAGAATCGAGCAATATAGGGTCATAGTTAGGGTGGACTATAATGGCTGAAATCTAGGAGAGAATCCAGAAATGTTAAATAACTAAACTGTAGGGATTCATTTTCAGTTTTATATGAAATACAAAATTGAAGAAATTGGAAGACATCTCTAGAAGTAATTGTCTTTTCTATTGACTCAGACGTTCTTTGAGAAGGTGCTAATAGAAGGTGACAATATTGAATAGAAATCATAGGCTGCTGCATTAGCAGTAGTTAATTCATCGATGGAAATTGGGGAGGATGTGGTAGAAGATCCAAACATGATCATTTAAACAAACCATTTAATTTATGGAGCTAAAACCCAAACTTCTGCAATAAACTTGTTTAAATTGGACAGATTTATGGGCATAATTTTGATTTCAGAGACTGAAAGAAGATAGCACAATGCATTGTACAGCCAGTGTGGTGTAGTGATTTGAGTGTTGGACCTGGCACTTCGAAGATCCAGGATAGAGTGCCCACTAGAGTGCCCAGGAAGCTTCCTAAGTGACTTTGCGCCAGTCACAGACTCTCAGCCTAACCTCCTCCACAAGGCTGTTGATGTGAGCAGAGGAGAAACTTGTAAGCCTCTTTGAATTTCTTGCAAGAAGTGGGATATAAATGTAATGTGGGGATGATGATGATGATGATGATGGGAGGGCAAAAATTATGCATTTGCAAGGAGCATTTCAGTATGTGACAACTAGATACTTTCTCTTAAAACACATGAAAGTTAGGATTGTGTAAGACTCTGTGATCGTAATAAAGAGACTGATCACAGGAATGAAGATGTATAGGGAGTCCAGTAATACATGAGTTTTCTCATAATAAAAAATGGCTATCAAATGCCCTAAAACATTGATTTAGATCGCAATACTATAAATGTTTACACAGAATAAAAGGCCTACAACCTCAAGTCATGCTGTCTGGGCATGGTGGGAGTTGTAGGCCTTTTTTCTATCTAAACATGCATTCACCTTAATGAATTATAGTGATGTATTGATGCCTTCCCATAAATCCATTCACATTCCTGTGAGTACTGAAAGAAACTTATAGCAGAGCTGGCCAGGAACAGCACCAACTGCACCCTAAATTACCTTTTAAGCTTCCAAATTGTTATCTCCCCCGCCCCCCCCCAGCTGAAATCAGTAAATGAATTCATGCCAGTGGTATACTGGATATAAGCCCTCCTTTCATATTTTAATTACTAGTTAGCATTAGCTGGCGTACTTCTTAGCAATCTCATCCTGAGACACCAAGAATGAGGAGACTAAAGTAGTGCATGAAAAATTCTAGTATATAGAATAATAGAAATATATACTGTCATTATCTTTCCAACAGTGAACACAGATAAAGACCTTTTATTGAGAGATTTGATTTCAAAATAATTTCAAAAAGAAAATGTTTGAGACTCTAATCTTAAACCCACTTACTAAGCCTCATTCCAGTTTTTTTCATACTTAAGTATGTCCCTAGGCTTGCAGTGCCCAAGTCCCCTTTTCATACCGGGAACCCTGAAATGAGGCCAGTATTTTCCTTGGTATCCAACTGCACATCCTCAATATCTTAGTGCCGGAACAACTTACCCGTAAGTTCTGTACCGTCTTCTCATCTCTGTCCTCATCTCTGTAGAACTTGCCCAGAACGACTTTGATGTCTGCTGTTTTGAGAACAGTGACCTTTCCCAGATTCGTGACACAGTGAGCTGCCACAACTACGGTGCGCTCATTCAGCAGGGCCCCACTGCAAATCAGGATCCATGCACCCTTTCTGTGGCTGGGGACCTTCACCCCATTGGGTCTCCTGTAGATGGCAGCTTGCCAGGGCCATCTGGCTGTGGATGGTTTCTGAAGAGCTGTATTTTCCATCTTTCCACAGACTGCCAAAGATACAAGAAAAATAAGCTTCTTTTATCTTTAGAAACCATCTGAGATCCAAATTCGAAGTTCATCTAGGAGCCCAACTGTTCCAATTACAAAAGAAAATTTGTAATATCTAAATACTATCTAATGGATTTTCTAAATCGTATCCAATTCTAAATCCTGTAAGATTATACTTCACTTTGGAGGCAATTTTATAATTGCCCTAATGAAATAGCGGTGAATACCAAGAAGAATCAGGTTATAGTTTTAAGAAGCAGTCTAAAGAATTAGGGGCCCTGGGTTTGCCAAGAAGCCGAGGAGATGCTTCACAGCTGTGCACACGCAAAGAGGTTTCCCCCTTCATGGTAGGATTGCAATGGAAGCTATTGACTGTGTCGGTTCTCCAAACACATTCTAGTTCTTCCTTGACTGAAGTGGGGCCTCCAACCTTCATGCTGATGGGTATTCTACCAGTATACAAATATAAATCACTGTAAACTCAGTTGCCATATATAATCCAGGAGGTATAGAAATAGTCATGAAAGACAATGCTGTTGGTGAATTCCTTTGTGAACTCGGTTGTTTCAGGGATCCCTGTAGCCAACCTTACACACAGTAAGGCTCCTGCTAAAGCATCCTTGATTTCTATGGGAGATATTAGCACATGCCCTATTTCTCATAAGAAGATGAATGAGAATTAAAGCTTTTGCATTTTGGCTGGATTGTGGTCATTGTTATTCTTGTAAGAGGCTGTGGCAGCCATCTCTGCCAGCACTCCTCCTCCTCCTCCTCCTCCTCCCTCTTCCTGTTAATATATGAATTTTTTTTTTGTATTTTTTGTGAGCCGCCCCAAGGCTTTATTGCGATGGGGGCAGAATAGAAATGTTTTAAATAAATAAATATATGCTTATTGGTTGTTAGTGATGAGTGTTGCCATTGACTGGCCAGAATTCACACTCACTGTTAGTGGTCTATACTCATGAGGATTCAAAAGATATAAATCCTTCAAATCTCATCCAGCAGTTTCCAGAAGGATCTGAAAAATTCAGAGTGGACTCCTCACCTACTAGTCCCCATAGCTTTTGCAAGGAGGAGCTGCTGTTTCATGCCATTATGTCATTTCCTGGCAGAAAGAAAGATTTCTAGTTTCCTCTGCCTTCAAGCCAGAGAAATATAAATCCTTTTCCTTCAAAATAAAGGAAGCTACAAATCCTGTGCTCACTAAAATGAAATGACTGTCCTGTGCATGATCATAAGTATCATTAGTATGGGATTTTATTAATTGTTGTATTTTTGGAAGGGCATCACTCCAGAAATACAGTTAATATTTCCATTTTCAATATTTCTAATTTTTAATATTTTAATATAATTTTCTCTTAATATTTTGGCTTGTCCGACTCCCAGTGAATCCTCTCCAGAGCCAGTGAATTTTTCTTCATTAATAAAGGGAATTCCCATTTGGATTCTGAGATGGTGTGGGTAGCGGAACAGATCAGGCTTATTAGCTGTGAGGTAGAAATGAATCCCATTCTGAGAGAAATTTGGATGAGTCTGGTCACAATGGGTTGAAGCATTCATATTAGTATTGCAAATTTTCCCAATCTGAATTCTGCCCCTATGTGAACTTGTAAAGTCACTGTAAAGTTACTATTTTATATTTTTGGATAAAGGTATTCGAGGGGCACCTCTCCTTTTGTACGTAAAATCAGATCCAGATGTATCAAACTTTAAAAAAATAAATTGAGATCAATCTTAAATCATCACACAAGGAGTAGAACAAAGTTGTGTAACAGAAGATTGATTGGCAAGAACTCGTCATTGCAACCAAATGATCAGGTCTACTCTTCACATGGGTAATTTGCACAACATGCTTTCTAATTCTAGGAAAATATTTTGGGAACAGTAGTACTGCCAGATATGCCCGGGGCAACACTAAGCAAGTTTTGACATAAGTGGGTAACAAGCTGTTTGGGCTTGTGTGCTTATGCATATATCAGCCTTTCCCAGCCTTGTGCTTGCCAGATACATTTGGACTGCAACACCCAGAATTCCCAGTCAATGGCCCTGCTGGATGGGAATTCTGGGAGTTGTGGTCCAAATCCCTCTGAAGGCCTCCAGGTTGGGGAAGGTTGGGATATTTTATTTAGGTTGCAATCCTATGCATGTCTAGTCAGGAAAAAGTCCTTCATCTCTACCATGGCTGGCTGGAGAATGCTGGGAGTTTTAGAACATTTTTCTGCCTGAGCATGCTAAGGATTGCACCTTTGTTCATTTTCCTGACATCATGACTCTTATTCATTCATTTCTCTTATTTTGTCAGGCTGGGATTGTGATAGAAGGTTGTACTCAAATTGTCCGGAGCTCAAAAATCCATTTGCCCATCAAGCTTCACATAAAGAATTGGATGTGGCAAACCCGGCAAAGTCAATAGTACATGCCAGAAATTCTAGATAACAGCTACTCCGATATAAGTGCGACTGATTTCAATGGGATTTACTCCCAAGTAAAGGTGTATAGGATTGCCTCCTAAGAATATAAGCTGAGAATACATTGGTTACATACATTTAGCTTTAATTTAGCTTGGTTATATAAATTCAGCTGTAATTTAGTAGGCAACATTAGAGTCCTTGATGTTCTTGCAGTCTCCACTCCTTCCCCAGGCTGGATTTCTACGATCTTGCTTGAACACTTACATGAATTACCTACACTATTTTAAGGTATTTATTGTTAAGGTTACTAGTGCAGGATGGTTAGGACAAATTCAGCATGTTAATAACAACCTTATTATTGTGGATACTGGTAATTTTTCAACTACTTTCTCACTTGGAATGCATGAAGGGGCCCTCCCACTCCATTTTCCTGTTTTCAGACAGGTTCTCCGGCTGCTTCCCAGACGTCGGTAGAAGGGGGAAATGCAATCGTACTGAAGCTGGGTGTGAAGATGCTGGAAGCCTGGAGGCAGTTCTCCAAATGGTAGTGATGCCTTTTTGGTTGGGTAGACTTCCAATTTCTGCTTGCTAAAGGCAGATGAATAGAGCTGATGCAAAGGGGTCTCCCTGTTTCGATACAGAAAGAATATGGAAACATAAGCAACAAGCCAAAAATTGCCACTACGGTGTCTTTATAACAGCTGGGTCAAAGCACCATGTAAGACAGTTCTGGAGTTCAATCAATCAGTGGTCTAGCAGTACAATCTAGAAAACCTTTAAATAAGCTTACCACCATACTGAAGTTAATGTTGTCCTTGTAGCCAATTTATTTCACTGCCCAGAATTCAGCTAAGAACCAGATGTGCTTATGGGTAGAATCCTTGAAATGTCTTATACCTGCATGACTGGCTGGGGAATGCTGGAAGTTGTGAGACTTCTTTCTGCCTAAGCATGCATAAGATCGCATCCTAAGCTATCGATTGCAGTGGGTTCAGGCATGCTAGATTGTGGCTAGCAGATGTTAGTTACTCAGCACAGACCCTTAAAGTTGCAACTACTCAACACTTCTCTGCCCCAGTATACATAAGGAGCAGTTGTAGCTCAGTGGAAGAGCATGCTTGGGCATGCAGATGCTTCTTGCTCCAGTTCATCCTCTCATCCCTGAAAAAAGATATTGGATCTCAGGGCTGGGAAAGCCCTTTGCGGGATGTCTTGAAGATTCATTGCTAGTCAGAGCAGAATTTGTGTGGTTATATGAAACAATGGCCTGACTCACTATATTTCAAAATGCAGTTGTAAATTATATGACTGTTATTTTCACAAAATCAATATTGTCTCCATTCACAAAAGGCTCACTGAGAAATTACACTGGAAGCAGCTGTCAACATAATTAAGAGCTCTTCTTATAAGAAATCCAAGCGGCAACAGCATTAATATTTCTCTTAGGTGTACACAGGATGCACACACTAAATCACAAAGCAGCGAGTTACCTTTCAGGTTTCACAGAGCTCTTCCTCAGTCTCAGTGTTGGAGATGACCATGTAGGGGGAGAGATATGAGGGAGACTCTGCTTGTTCTCGGCATAAGAAAATTGTGCTTCATCTGCCTCTTTTCTCTGATCACATTTATAATAGGTGCAATAGCAGGCTGAACTAACGCTCGGCAGTACTGTGATTATCAATAAAGAAATGCAGTTGCAGTATCGACATGAGTCTATCATGTTGGAAACAATTCCAAAACACCAGAACAGAAGAAACAGGTTTATATCAAGCAGACATCAGTCCATCTAACTCAATACTTTCTACACTGATTGGCTGTGGGTTGTCCAGGTTTTTGGCTATCATCACAGCAGTGCTGAAATTTACACTGCAGCTTTCTGCAACTTCGTAGTTTAAAACATATGGAGGGCACAACCCCAGAATTCCTGACTTTTGGCCATGCAGGATGGGGCTGGTAAGAATTGAAGTCCAAAGATCCAGAGATCGCCAGGTTGAAGAAGGCTGTTGTATGGTATCAGACTTAACCTGAGCATGCCTGTTACTGTCACTTCTTGCAAATCCCTTAGAAGATCCTTTCATGTGTAAAGTTTCACTCATTCAGTAGCAGCAGGTTTATCTGCAGGCCAGAACATTCTTTAGGCATGAATGCCTCAACTGTTGAATTTTTTGTGTCAGTGCTGACTAGTGTAGTATCTGTCTGTTGGACCATCTCTGGGCAGGTGTTATCTTCAGGCTGACTCTATCTGCTTGGGTACCTGCTTAGATGGATGACACCCATTGGACTAACAATCATTACTTATGGAACATGAGCGCACTTCAGACCAAGTGTTTCACAGGATGATTGCCCAGCCAAGTTGAGCCACATAGGAAAAAAGCCAGAACAGTTCTTGTTGTAATTGTAGGTAAGGCATTGCAGTCTTACCTTGACTGAACCTGCATTGGAAGTACTTTTTGCCTCACCAGGTCAGAGATCTTTGGCTCTCTGCAAGCTAGAAAAAAAATGCAATGTTTTACAATTCTTTTCCATGCTCAAACATTATGATCCCTATCCCTGTCCATTTTTCCCTCTGGCACTAAGCAGTATACTGAAGAATAACTTCTTTTTGTTTCCCGGTGAGCTATATATATAAAACTAACAGTGCAAATGCCTACTCAGAAGTCAGTCCCACTGGGCCAGATGAAAGGTACATCCAATTAAGTGGGCATAGTCTCTTTTTCTTTTTATTGCTTGCTTGCTTTTATATACCATTCAATAGCCATATATGGCTCTCAGAACAGTTTACAGAAAAGCCACTGTGGTCTGGCTGCAGTTAATTCCCAATGAAACAAATGGAACAGAAGAGACTAGGAAGGCCATCAAGTCCAACCCCCTGCTAGTGCAAGATGCTAACTTCATGTTAATGTCCATTAGATCGAAGGGCAAGTAACCTATTCTGGATCCAACCAATGATATGTTTTTGTGAGTGTTTCAGGACTACTTTTATTAAGAACACGAGATCTCCTCACTAAGAAAAGTTTAAATAGCTACTATATAACTCATCTTTCTTTCACAGTTCTCTAAAGCTCGGGGAAGGACAAATAAATTGCAGAAGAATAATTGGACTTTCCAAACTAAAATAAGCTAGCTCCAGTCTGTTATCAATCCAAACATATTTTACAGAAATACAGTCCATAAGCTTGGTTTTGCAGTTCGTTATTGTTAGCATTTTTGTTAACATTTCTAGTATGATGCTAAATTTGATCACTTATTGATGGGCATTCCCCCCCCCCCTTCAACTTCTCTCTTGATTTGATCCATTAAATTAGCTCTTTTTAGCAGAAAGTTGGGGGAAGCAAAGTGACATGATGCTTTAGGGTATTTCCTTCTGCAATATCAGAAAGCTCAGGGGATGGAAACCAGAAGGCATTAGACCCTTTGACTTAATCTTGCAGGCAGGGAGGCAGGCTGGACCTTACAGGCACAAAAGCCAGTTCCAGAAGGTGAATAAATGCAGGAAATGCTACCTTTTGTTCAAACCATCATCAGCCCTAACCTAAAAGCTTCTATAGTCTACCTGCTCAGTGGAAACTAATGAGCTGCCTTAATGTCTGTGAAGCCTCAAAAAATATCACCACCCAGGGAACCATCTTATACCTGCAGCCCTAAGTGGTCCACCATGTAAGAAAACAGAACATAGAAGAGTCTCATGTTTAGATCTGGGCATAAAGGTCTGGCAGAAAGAAAATTTGTTGACATTTCCTTTCAGGTTTGTAACACCAAACCGAGAAACACACCTCTGCTGGATTCGCTACTAACTTCTTTCCCTAAATCCAGCTCATCAGGGCACCTGGCAAAGCTGTGTGCCTCTTCCTCAGTTGCCAGTTGGCCCTTCTTAGAAAATAACTTCAGCCATAAAACAAACTATAAAACAAGGCTAGGTAGTTTTGTTTTGATTTAAAAAACAAGAGATTCTAAATTACCTTTTATGCAAATTGGCTGTTTCCCTGTCCATTCTCCATTTTCCTGACAGGTTCTTTGTTCATTACCACTGAGAACATAGGAGTTATTGCAAAAGAATGTAATGACTGTTCCAATTTTTGCATAACGGCCATTCATCAGCGCAGCATCTTCCATCATTTTTCTGTACCCATTGAGTGGAGCACCAGGATCAGAACAGTTTCTGTCTTCTGTGACTACTGGAGGTGGATGGGTGGGGGTGTTATATAATTGTGTTAAGCAGAAAGTATTAAGAGAGCATTATATTATATTATCCAATAATTTGTGTATTAATTGAATACAGCCATGCATAGGGCAAGCATTCAAAAAGCAACCTTAAATGCCAACTAACTCTACAGGCATATGTGAACTATAACTGCATTGACGGAAAAGAGTAATTTTGAGTAGTAATATTTTATTGGAACATTACATTCACAAGTCATATAAAGCAAGTGATAAGCTCCATCTGGATTTTAATACTTTGTCTTACAACATACTTCTGTAAACCAAAGATCTGACTGCCTAAACTTAAAAGGCATTTTATTCTAGTTCATACAGAAAACTGCACTGCCACAAAACTGTCTTTTCATTTGTTATTGATTGATTGGCAGAAGTTATGTGGAACCATTCCTGCCAAAGATGCTGAAGATCTGGGGTGGAGAAAGAAGCAAAATCCAGAAGCAACTAGTTATAATAGCTTAAATCCTGAAGTGCCCACTGTGGCCTGAGCTCTTCTGTGGGCCTTTAGTCAAAAAGCAATTCTCAAAATGTGTGTTCCTACTCTGCTCCCCACTCCCAGTGAGAATCTGAAGCTCCAGTCACAGGAAGAGAAGGAAATGGTTTTTGCTGATCATCCTTTGCTCCTGCTATATACTGGAGCATTTCACAGTGGGGAGCATGGAGGACTGCGAGGAAAAGGACAATGGGCAAAACAACCTTTCCCACTCCATTGGTGGGCGCTGGTAAAGGCATTTCCATGCTTATGGCTGCTTCAAAATCAACCCAGTCTTTCTTACTGTGACATACCCACAGCTCAAGCTTACAGAACATTGGTTAAAAGGGAATTTGGGAGGCAAATATAGCTGGTTTTGTCCTGCTCTACTAGAAGGTTTTTTCCAGTTGTCATGTAAGTTTGAGTGCGACTAATGGTAAGTATCAAATCACAGAATCATAGAATAGTAGAGTTGGAAGGGGCCATGCAGGCCACTGAGTCCAACCCCCTGCTGTTGCAGGACACCATGTTACACCCTCCCACTCAGATGGCTGTCCAGGTTCCTTTTGAATGTCTCCAGTGTGGGAGAGCCCACCACTTCTCCAGGCAGTGGGTTCCACTGTCGTATTGCTCTGACAGCGAGGAAGCTTTTCCTGATATCTAGCCTGAATCTGGGTTGTCACAACTTGAATTGATTATTCCATGTCCTACATTCTGGCATCATCAAGAAGAGATCTTGACCTTTCTCTTTGTGACAGTCTTTGAGGTGTATCATGTCCCCCTTCAGCCTTCTCAAGGCTGAACATGCCCTGTTCTCTCAGCCTCTCCTCATAGGGCAGTGTTTCCAAAACATGGATGATTTTTGCTGCCCTTCTCTGGACCCTTTCTCATTTTCCTGCATCTTTCTTAAATCTTGGTGCCCAGAACTAGACACAGTATTCCAGATGAGGTCTGACCTGTATAATCATTAAGGGAATAATCCCATGAACGTTTAGACAGAAAAGGCCTCCAAGTTCCAGCATGCCCCACCCAGCACGTCTAAATATGACAGGATTGCACCTTTAAAGAGGTCCCAGATGCAGAAGTCTCTGTCCCAATTCTGGGCTCTGGCTCTGAGACAAGCCCTGGAAAGCTACAGCCCTGTCCAAGCTCTGCCCCTTACTTCTAGAAAGTTGTGCTCCCCTTGTAGCAGGCAGCCAGTTACCTCCAAGTGCAACTCTAGTTTTTGCTCCCCTGAAAGAAAGAGAGAGTGGCAAGCAGAGCTGTTTTCATTTCTCTCCCTGGCTACTCACGTTCTCAGCTGGGAGAGACAAAATTAGAGAAAAGCAACTGCTGCAGTATCCAAAGCTGAGAGCATCACATGAAGATATTTCCTCATGTCTCAGCAAAGACAGGTTAAGACTTTCCAAGGAGCAACAGGTCATAGCAAGAGTCCACAGCTCTCCAGTTTTGGGGGAGCAGAGCAAAGGGCATGAACTGGAAGGCAGTCTTCCAGGTGGTGATGCCAAGGCAGCTCCAGAGAGGCTTCCATTCAGATGACTCTTCAACAGCAAGGAGCAATCTTATGATATCCTAAAACTAAAGAGTGATCACTAAAAGGAATGTTAGAATCAAATGTCGTTGCTGTATGTTAGTCCCATTGCTTTCTTTAAAGGAACACACCATGGTTGAAAAACAATAATAAATGTAAAGTGTCCTTACCGCATTCAGGATGGTGTATTGACCAGCTCCCATTCAGCTGACAGTAGGCAACACGACTGCCTTTTAAGGTGTAACCTGCGTTGCATTTGAAGTAAACCTGGGCCCCGTATTTAAAGTCATCTCCTTCCACAAAACCATGAGCAGGAGCACCTGGAGTCCTACACATCACCACTGACAGTTCAGATATTTCAAAAAAATCCACTTTATTACAAAAACAGGACTGCTTTAGGTTGATTCTTTACTTAGAATGTAACAAAACTATTAAAAAAGAAGAGTTACAGGAAACAAAAAAAATCAAAATAATGAGACTAATAAGTACATTGATATTTTTAAAGCATAAAACTGATCTACCAACTCTTGGTACATCTTAAATATTAGCATTTAGCTCACTGTGTTAGTCACTGGATTAAAAGTATAATTAAGTACACATGTATTTGCAGTACTGAGTCCCAGTTTTGCTATAGTTAACATGCTCTGTTTTCAGTGAAATGCCAGGGACCACTTGCCAGCATCAAAGATCTATATAATTGGAGCTAGAACTAAGTTCATGGCCTTTGTGACCCTGAGATAGAAAAGTAACTTTAAAACTGTAAGTAATACACTCAGACTAAGTGCTCCTCTTTGAAGTCCTATTCATTGCAGTCATACAGTTATTCAAATAAATTGTTCTCCAATTGAAATGATGAGATTATGTGACTTATTTTGGCTGGACTGTACCCATATCTTGCATTCAAATGTTTACTGAGTAGGAACTTCAAATACTCATCCACCCTTACTTTTGCTAGGCAAATAAAGCCTTCTCCAAGGCTGGGCTAAAGTATCCCAATGACATGTAAGCAACATGAATAATCCTCAGGTTTAGAAGATCAAGTTTCACACAGGTGGGATAACATAAGTAAACATTTCTTATTCTGTCTGCCCATAATCATATCAGAATATCCCATAATGAAAGGACTTTATTCTACAGTGGAATGGGATGCCCTTCTCAATCAAAACACAAGCACAGCTTTCATTTACTTCATGTCTGTACCTCCCAATAGCCAAAGCTCTCCGAACAGCTCATAAAAATTACAAAGTAAAAACATAACATAAAAAGTTCAACATGCTAAATCACTAAACAATTTAAAACATCTAAAACCCAGTTACAATAACATATTGAGAACAGGTGAAAAAACAGCTGACATTCAAAATCACATTATGCATCATCAAATGCCTGTGAGTAGAGGACAGTATTTAACAGGTGCTGAAAAGATATCACTGGCACTGGCAGACCTGAGTGGAAAGAGCATTCCACAGGTGATGGACTACCACTGAGAGGGCTCCCCAACTCCTTGTTGCCATCTCTCAAGCCTTTAGTAGAAAGCCTCAGGTGATGGGCATAGCATACGGTAGGTTCATAATGGAACACAGGCTCCATCAGGTCCAAAGCCATGCAAGGTTTTACAGATCCAAACCAATACCTCAAATTAGGCTAAGAAACACTGCATGCAACTGGGCCAGGATTGGTGTTCTGATCTCCCAGACCATTCCATCAATGTGACCACCAAATTTTACACAAATGGTCAACCATCTTCAAGTTATCCCTATGTTAAGCACATTGCAGTAGTTTAATCTGGATATATCCAGAGTAGCAACTATGGAGGCCAGGTCCCTCATGTTCAATAGGACATAGATAGACCATGAACCCAAGCTGGTAGAAGGCACTCAGTGCTACTGTGGCCACCTAATTCCTACACGACAGTGATGACTCCCAAAGAACCCCAGAACTATAAAGCTGCTGTTTCAGATTGGTTGGACTCTCCCCTCTTAACTATTTTTTAATAATGCTTCTAATATTCCACACATGGTATTTCATAGAATGAGCATACATGCACATGTACATATTGGTAACTAGATCAGAAGTAGGAAGCCTGATGTTCTGGACTCCAGATGTTTTGGAGTACAATTCCCCATCAACCTTAGTTGGCATGGACACTGGACAGAGATTATGGGCACTATGGCCCACAACGTTTGGAAAGCACTGGGTTGCCTATCCTTGATCTAGATCATAGGCACCTAGAAAGAACAAATGTTTGGCTCCTTCTAAGAAGAGATATCTAAAGGTACATTTTTAAAAGGAACCAAGTTAGTTGTTGCCCCCAAGAGACTACTATATTCCACCATAATGGTACAAACTAATTTTTCTCCTGGGTCCTGTACAGACTCTAATCACCTGCTGGCATTCTTCCCTGAGCTCTTTGCACTTCATTATTCTTATTTTTGGAAGCATGATTCAATTCCTTTATGGTCCAATATTCTTCCAACTGAAATCTCCCTTCCCTTCCCTTCCTACTGTTTAAGCTACAATTTTTGATAGTTCTGAATAATACCTGGTTCCAACACAGTCTCATTCTTGGCACAAGAATAGATAGCTATCCATTTCTATCTTTAGTTACAATTCTCATGCCATTTCTTTGAGCTTCCTCACTGCTGAAATTATTCCACTGCTGGTGGAGCTATTGATTAAATGATTTCAGCTCAAAAGGAACTTATGGCCCCAACTCAGTGAGTGCTATTACCACAAGCTATTTTGCAAGGGGTTCAGTTGACTCACGACTATAGACTTATTCAGTTTACTAAGAGTTTCTCTAATACAAATAATTCACATATATAATATTTTCTAGACCTCCCTATCATAAATGATTAATACCTTTGATTTATTGAATTATGTATGCCTTCAATTCCAACCAAAATCAGAGGCTGGGCGTCAAATATTGCTCTAAGACTGGGACATAATAACTAAGTGTATGCACCAAGCACCTTTCTCTGGGATCAGATGGTAGACCTCTGTCTCTTCTTTATACATGGGAAATTTAAAGTTGCTTGCTTGCTTGCTTTTTGTATGTATGTATGAATGAATGTATGTGCAGACAAACTATCTTCCCTTCTGCTCCCACCGAAATGTACACTAACAGATGGTCTTACTTTGCTTTTGGATGCTTCAGGGGGATCCTGCTTTCCCTCAAGGAGTGTTACAATCTCTCTGAATTAGCCCAATCTGACTCAAATTCAAGATTCCGCCCTATCTGATGCAGATTGCTGACCATAAGAACAGCAGAAAGGACCTGTGCAAAAAGAAGCCCCTGCTATGCAAAGCAAGGCAGATCTGGTACTGAGGACCATGGCATGTGAAGGATGTTTCCCAATTTATTTGTTAGTGCAGGATCATTTCCATGTAGTCAAAGAAACAAACCCCCATACCAACTTGGAGAAATTAGTTAAACTTTAGTTAGCTACATTAATTTCAGTGGGATTTTAAACATGGAGAGCTTTTCCTGGACAACTTTCAGGCAATTGCTGCCTTGATCTGTTGTGCTGGGCCCATTAGCTATCCAGGCATAACCGTTCATACACTAGAACCAGCTTCACCAGATGTTGTTCCATCACTGCACTGTCAAATGTGACAAATGCAGATGTGTCCACTTCATGGCACTTGTTAGGCTGGACAGGGAGCAGAAAATGGGGCAGAACAGGCTTGCTGTTACCTGGGGCAAATGCGAACGCTGCAACAGCTTTCCACCCAGTAAAATGGGAGCAGCAAAGTTGTCTTGTAACCTATTTTACTCCCTTTCCTTCTCCCGCAGCATTTCATGCGGTTTCTCTACTGCTGTATCCATTTATCTCATCCCTGCTTTGTGCATGAAAAGCTCTGAAGCTGGTTTTGAAAGGAAGGTTAGTACCTTGAACGCTTTGTAGGAGCGATTCTTTTCATTATGTTCATGGTTGCCTGTCAGGTGAGTGAATCTGATTGATTCCCCACCACCCCCAAATTCCACAGTGCATTCAATTGAGTTTTCACCTAGGACAAGCACCCTTGAAAGATATATTTTTAAAATGCCTTTTCAAACTCTCCCCTGCCTATTTCACCTTTTCAGTCATCTCTGATGCTGTGTCTTGAAAGAGGTTTCAGAGAGAGAAGGGAGGAGTGGGAACATTCTGTAAAGATCTGTACTGACATACATACTCCAACAAAAGAAGGCACTCTTGAATCCCATGGAAATAAACACTGAATTGTGAATATTGAGTTGGCAACAATGGAAGAGTGACCTCGATGGATAATGTCTTACCCAGTGCAGCTAGAAATTAGAAGTGTGCAATGATTGCTAAGAAAAGCAATAAAAGAAGAACGAAAGGGGCAATTTAACCAGTATTTAACACTTTGAAGTTCCAGTGGATTGGATTCTAACTTGGCCATACTTATACCCACTGAAATTGATGGACCTTAAATTACCAGTCCTGTTGATTTCAGCTGATTTCAGTTCATACTCTGGTATGGCTATGTCTTGATTCAGCCCATTGATTTCAAAGAGAAAAGGTTCATTTTCCCATTAAAATGTGTTTAGTATTGCTTGGATTGAATGGGAGTGGATCCTAACTTTCCTTCCATGAACAGAGCAGTGTTCACATTCACAAAACAGGACTTCCTCACTTTGCCCTTCCTTTGGTGGCCCCCAGATACTAGCTTTTGAGAGCTTTGCTTTTGAGAGGGACCTTGGAAATGTTACAGGATCTGGGTTAGAGAACTGCAGGTTGGAGTGGTAAAGTGGCAGAAATCCCCTTAAAGCAGGGGTCTCAAACTCGCGGGCCAATTGCCGGGACGGGCACGGCACGGGGAGGGGCTCTGCGGCCTTCAAAGTGCCAGCGGCGCCCAGGCCGGCCGCGGGATGAGCGGCCCACCACCACCGCGGTGGTGGAATACTTGATGTGGCCCAGCCTCACCCAGACTCTACTTCCAGCGGCCCCCAGGTAAGTTGAGTTTGAGACCCCTGCCTTAAAGGATTTGAAGAATAATTTGGGATCTCAGTCATTTCTTTAATGCCGAGGTAAAGACAAAGAGGCATGAGCATTTTCACCTCTGCAAAACATATCCTAGGTTCGGGTGATATTTTCCATTCCTGCAGATAGGATTACACCACTGCTTGCAAAGGGTGTTAGGAAGCACATATTCATGGTCCAGGCAAAAGGTCCAGTGTGCCTTGACTACTTGGAGTAAAATCTAGATGTAACCAGAGCAAAGTTCTCTTTACCTGTGCCAGCTTCCTAATTCCTGAAAGAAAGAATTCGTGGTTCAACCTGACACAGCTTCAAGCATTTCCGGTAAAGCTGGGACTGTAATCTAATCACATAGTCAG